ATTCGGCATTTGAGCTGCCTGAAGAAATCCAGCTGGAACCGGTCTGAGGCGGCTTAGGGGGTGCAGGCGGAGTTTTGAGCGCCTGGCGGGAAAGCGAGGTCTCTGAGCATCTTCACCTCGGTGCTTTCATGATTGCCTAGCTTTCTGGTCCCGTGCTCGTGTTGGGTGAATTTTAACCAATATCTGCTGGCTAGCTGCGGTAAGAGCTGAGGACACTGACCTTGCACCAGGCGGTGTAGTTTGCGCGGCCAAATGACGATGCCGAGCCCTTTATTAGAGAAGAATTACAGATGGAGAGAAGGATCACAGAGCATTAACACGAGCTCAGAGAGCTAAGCCCCTGTCCTTCTGACCGCCAAAGACCACCAGCCTAGAGAGACAGTGCTGTCAGTGAGAAACGTGGAGGATAATGAGGGAAGGAGTCTTGCCTAGTGGTGACTGTTCCTGTAGACTGGCAGAAGATAAAGCTTCGAACACTGGGTAGGGCCGGGCTGAAGCATTAAAATGTTCGCACTTTGCACTTTATCTTGTAGGCGGCGCACAAAGAAGCAAGTTCAAAGCACTGTTTGATGATTATTGATCTGGCTTTGGAATGTTGGGTAGTCTCGGAAGCCAGAGCCACAGACTGTCAGTCTGTGGCGACAGTTACACAACCATGGAGATCTATCTAGGCTGATGTAAAAAAAAAAAAAAAATACTGCGAATAAAAGGGAAAGCTATTCTAAAGGAAAAGTCATAAGACAGAGGACAGAGCACATCCTAGTATGTGGCACCTGCCTCTGAGGTCCTTGGCTGGAAACATCGAAGCGGGATATCCCTGTCAAACCTTACTTTGGATCCTTTCGTCTGCCTCTTCCCAAGCATCGCTTCATCATTAAGCTATCTTCTCGGATGCATCTTGAATTCTCTCTCCCTGAGGGATTTTCTACTGAAGTTCTCAAACATACCCATGTGTATGACATTTAAAACTTTAAAGAGTAAAAGAACCTTCCAAGCCCCTGTTGTTTACTTGTTCCCTCTTTTCCCCTTACATATATAGATTCTAATCAGTCACCAATGCGTTCTTGCTGCCAAACTTTTATTGGTGGGTAAATGGGGTGGGGGGTGGGGCTTAGTTGGCTTACATTTCTAATCCCTCCTTGAGGGAAGCACCAACCTTTTATCATGTCTCTGTGCTTTCTTCACTACTCTTATTTCCAAAGTTACCAAACGACCAGATTGAAACTCAGAAGATAATCATTTAGTACTTAAATCGCTTGGTTGTGTGAAGTACTGAATGGGCTCAATTTGTTCTGGAATATTTAGCTGTTGTTTCTCAGCACACCAGCCCCTAATGGCACTTCTTCCACCTCTCAGTTCCCCCTCTTGGGTTCTTCTTAGACTCATCTCTGCGATGTAGCTGCTACCATTGACTCTTCCAGCATTCTTCCTCTCACTTGCTCCCCCACTGCATTCCCCTGGGTGAATTCATCTGCTGTTCTGTAATTAAGAGTTTGGGCCTTCAAGGATTGGTTCAAGTCCCAGCTTTGGTGTGTATTTTGCTTTGTGAACCTTGGACTGGTTGCTTAACCTTTCTGAGTCTATTTCTTCATCTATAAAACAGTGGCTACCTTGTAGAGTTGTGCATAAATGAATAAATGCCTAACCCTGTGTCCACTTATACCCTTCAAATAATAGCCCTCTTTGCCTTAAATGACTTCAGCTATTATCAGCATCTTTAGCCCATATCATTCTCCTAAACTTCAAATCCTTATTTGTAGCTTACCATAGGATGTCTCCTCAGTTCAAATATACGACACCTATCAGTGGACACTAAGTTATATTTGAATAGAACACCCTACCAGGTGCTGGAAATCAAATGATAAAGAGTTTTTGTTCTTTGGGAGCCTAAAGATTGTACAATGGTAGAATTCTGCAGAGTATTTGTAAGAATTCAAAGGAGCAGGTTTTAATTCAGCATAAGAGTTAGGAAAGATGTCATGGAAACATCTTGAACTAAAACACAGTAAAACATTAGTGTCACCAAGAATTAGAAAGGAATTCTGCAGAAGAAATAGCATGAACAAATGTATAGAGACCCAATGAAGCAGCAATTCTGAATTACTAGTGAACTGTGAGCAGTAGGCCACACTGGGAGGCAATCAGACAGATGCAGACAGAGCAAAGTATTCTCTTCAGGGTAAGGAACGTGGCTTTTGTGCTAAACATATTAGAAAGAAACAGAAAGGACAGGATGGCATAATTAGCTTTGCAAAATCATTAAAATTTTCTCAAAAACAAACAAAAAAACATATTCGGTAAATAAACCCCTGAAACATACAAAGAGATAAAGGAGGGCCCTGTCCTCTGTTTAACTCCTATTATCCTATAATTACAATGTTCCAACAAAGCTAAGTCCTATAGGTGAACAGTGCTTTCGTATCTTCTTCAAATGCATCCCTGATTGTATTACATTCTTAGCATGAATTATCCACTGAGTGTGCTCTGAACTAGTTACTTTTGTGAGTGAGGGTAGAGGAGAAAGAAATAATCTTAATTATCTGTGTCTGCTCCTTCCCCGATGCTATTACATTTTTCCTTCTGAACATATTAACCAAATCCTACTCTCAAAGGCCTTCATCAACTGCTGCATGCCAACTGTGAGATTGAGCTGAGGTTTGGTTAATTAATGTGCACATGCGGGTGCTCTTATTGATGCAATCAAGCATTGATATATATATATATATATGTATATATATATATATATATATACATATATATATATATATATATTCAAATGTATACTTCCAAAGAATATTTTCTTCAGTGTAGCAGTTTGTAAAGTTGCACTCTCATTACAAGTATGTTAGAGTTCAGAACATATTCAGAAACCATTTGGGATCCTGAATCTTTATCCCAGAATGGGATTGTTTAGGGCTACTAAGAAAATAAAATATGGCCCAAAGTAGTGAGACTGATTTTCATGTGATTCATAAAGTACCTCTGAAATATCAGAAAGGCGTAAAAACATCTGCTAAAAATTATTGAAATTACTATACCATAATGATGGAATTTGAGATAGTCATTTGGCTATGTATGATACATTTTGTATAAAAGGGCTTCTACACAGCCACATTTTCTATAATGACAACCACATAAAGCACATTGATATTTGTATTTTGTATTTTGACATATAGGTAGTATATTACATTTTGTTCAATTAATTATTCACCAACATTTGTGGGCTGACTGTGAGTCAAATACAAAAGATGCAATGGATACAAGTCCATGAATGGACACTTTAGTAAGAGAATTTCTACTTGAATATCTATCTGTATTAGGAAACTCAATGTGTAATGGAAAATATACATTTCTTAAAAGATAAACATGAAAAAAGATAAACATGATATAAGGAAATGCCTTGAATGTTATAATATTTTTAAAGATATGACTGTAAATTTAACAAAATAATTTTTTCTATAGCCAGACAATGTATGACTAAAATAAATACTTTAGTTAGATATTTATCAAAGCCAACAATTTGTATCTTTAATTATTATATCCATCAACATGATGAATAGTCCAAATTACTTATCAAATGCTAGTATAGATTAATCCACAAAATGATGAATTTTTATCTTCTGAAGTTCATTTCTTAAATTTTGTCCAAAATAATCAAACTGTAAAACGTAAATCCTTTAATTGCAAGAAATTGTGTTTCTTTAATTTAAAAATAAAATTCTTCAAGGTATGTGTAGCATCTTCTCAGTTAGGATGGTTTGGTATTTCTGTAGAGTGAGTGACCAGATTCTGTAGATGTCATGTTTACGGGAGAAAGTGCTATGAACACACAACTGACTGTCTGTGATTCCACCTTGAAGGATCTGTGATAAATGTAAAATATTTTATTACATGATATTATATTTAGACTTAATATCAAATACAGATAAACAAGTAGCTTAGTGATAAGAAATAAAGATAAAATATGTGTTTTGGTATATGCTTAGATAATGTCAGAAAATGTTGCTAATAATTTTCACTCCCACCCTATATCCAGTGTGGTTGTTTTTAGCACGTGTGTACTATTCTTTTGCAGATTTTAGGTTTATCATCATCATTGTGTGTGTGTGTGTGTGTGTGTGTGTGTGTGTGTGTGTGTGTCTGTAGGTGTGAGTATGTAGTGTGTATGTATGTGTGGTTTTTGTGTGTGGGGGGGTACACGTGTGCTAAGGCATTTGTAGAGGACAGAGGACAGATAACTTTGTGATATGGGTTCTCTCCTTCCACCTTTATAAGGGTCCTGGAGCTCAAGCTCAGGTTGTCAGGGTGGCTTGACGAGTGCTTTCCCTGCTGAATCGTCTCACCAACAATGTCACTAATAATTTTAAAGATTTGACATTTGCTGACAAATAAGACATTATTTAATTCATGGGCAACAAAGTCCAAACAGGCATTTTTTTATAGCTTCCCTAACATTTTAGCATTGTCTTCAGGGCCTCCCGAAGAAGGTGCTGTGTGAGGGGAAACGAGCACAAGGAGGGTCCTGTGATTGGTAGTTGCCTTGTATTATTTCCATTGATTTAGCAGTAAGATGGTTGCAGATCAAGCCTTTCCTAAAGCTTCCTGATTGTGTCTCATTGATTAAATTTTGCCATCTCATCTTTATTTCAAGTAGACATTTCCTAATAGAATCCATTTCATTGTGCACACTGTAACTATAGTAATATGAAAGATAATTTACTTATTCATTTCATTTCATTTGCAAAATCATAAAGCTTTTGTTAAATGGATTGTTTGTTTAAAGTAGAAAAATCATACTCATGTTGTTCTCTGGCTCACTGAGTCAAGCAACCTACTCTGCACGCACAGTAGAACTTTCCTTTTAATTGTAATTTTAATAGTAAGCCAAGTCTTTCATCCTGTTTTATATGTTCTTTGATCATCTTTTAAAATTATGCATGATTAAAGAAGCCTGAAGATTGTAAAATAATTGAAAGTGGAAAATGCTCATAACATTACCACTTTATATTTTCAAGTCCTTATAAACAGAAATGGGGTAAGTGAACCTGTCACTGAAATTGACTGGAGGACTCTGTTAAAATAGCTACAGCCATAGAACACAGCTGTGCTCACAAGATCTTTGGCATTGTCCCCCACCGATAATGGTATCAGGGTGTTACTTTTAATTCCATATACCAGGACATCTAAAAATCACTTTACAGCTGATTCTGTTTCAGCCTTAGTTCATTCATGAATCCTGAACCAATTTTAAGAAGTAGTAAATTTTGTCCTAGTAAGAGAAGGATCTTTCAAATAATACTTATACCATTTAGGTGTTTCTCTAAGCAATCAAATTCCAAAAGGGGAATAAGTACAATTTTCAGGACTTAAAACTAGATCCACCTGGATTCCTAATGCATACATTTCTATTTCCTCTGGTTATAGCTAATAATAGACCTGAACATAAGAAAATGAGTGCGAGTAATGGTTACTTTCAAGGCAGCAATGTAATGCTTTAAGTTGTGAATGAAGTTGTTCATGGAATTTATAGATAAATGACCTACGGGTGTCACAGGGAGGCCAACTTGAAGGCCCCTCATAAAAGACAGAGATTTTTCCAACCTACTTCTGGATACAAACAGCCAGACCCCAACCACCGCTCTTAAAGCAACCATTTTTATGGTTGAAGAGCCTATTCAGTATACTGCACTATGCTCATGATGCTGCTTTTAGGCTCTGACCTAACAACAATTATTTACCTGATCCATCTTTAGTGACTTGTATGAAGTCATCCTCATCCTCATCACAGCTGAACTGCTGGAGGACTGTATCCGACTGGCTTTCTGCTGGATCACCATCAGCCTGCTTCTGGAGGCTTCGAAGGGCAACAAGACGGTGATGTATTGCAGCATACAGATAGCCTATGTCATTGGCACTAGCCTTTGTGAGAAAAATGAAGTTGCTTAGACTATAAATAATGGGAAAATGTAGCCATGTTTACATCTTTTTACTCTCTCACTCTTTATAACATTGTATTATGTAAATCTGGAAGGTAAATAAATGTCCATAGCCGAACATGTTAAAAAGTAAAGCTGATCCATTTTACACCAGATTGTATCCCAAAGTGAGCAGTGAGATCTCAATGCATACATTTTTAAATGGAGCAAATGCAGTTTTGTGATCTAAGAAGCCTGTTTGAATTGAGATCTTTAAGATGGCTGTCCCGCTGCCACCTTCTGCTGTAGAGCTCTGTGGGCTTGGAGCAAAAGGACTTCTGCTTCTCCCCATCACTTTACTAACCCACCCTCCAGCACACACAACTTTGTGGAGAAGCCAAGCTCCTGAGGAGTGGTGACATTTTCAGACACCATACTTCTCAAAACTTCTCCAAGCTAATTTTTGGTTGTCATTAATATAAAAATGATGGCAGCAGTAGCTTAATACTGGTATAGCATTTGCTGTTGTGTTTTTATTCCATTTACACTAGTAAAAACATGTAGTACAGGTATACTCATCCCACTTCCCTTTACAAAAGAGAAAACTGTGGCTGGGAAAAAGAAAAGGACTTGTCTAAGTTACAGCACTAAAGAATACATTTACATTTAAAAATTAATGTTGTGTCACTATTTTAGCTGTTTAATCTCAGCAGTTTTATAAAATATATCCTGTCGCCTTCATTGTACATGTGGGCAAGTCAGTTTAGTAAAAGCTAAGTAATTCAGAAGTCATGTAATCATACAACATTGCACATATGTATGGTTATGTACACATTTAGTTTTTCCTGATTTTTTAATCTTTACACACATATAACAAGATATTTTGTGGACGGAGCCCAAATCTAACCATAGAATTTATTTATGGTTCATCTATATAGACCTTGTATACATAGCCTATAGGAAATTTCTACAACATTTCAGTGTGCCTGCATGTTGGCCAGGACCCATCATACAAGGTCAGGTGTGGAAATTTCCATGTTGAAGCTCAAAGAATGTTGAAGTTGGGAGCATTTTGGATTTCAAAATTTTAAAATAGGATGCTTAACCTATTAGTGTAGAATAAGATGTTAATGGTGATCACAACAGATGATCTTTATTGTATTCTGTTTGTCTCTTGTGAATATGCCACAAATTAAAAGCCATTATGGGTCAAGAGCTGATGATGGTGAATAGAGGCAATCTGAGTTTCTGCCACATTGCTTTGCCCACTGAAAACCAGTGGGATGGAGCATTATGTCCTTAAATGATAGAGAGGAGTTATCATCTTACTCTTAATTTTTTTGATATTGCTGCTTACTGAACTTTCCCTAACATTTTAAAACCCAAAAGGTCACTTACACCAGACTTTAAGTTAATAAAATTTAGGGGTTTTGTCACATACCAATTTTTTTCTTCATTATTTAGTGGAAGTCTATCTACTTATATTATTACCAATATCCTCATATTTTTCAAGTAGTCCAGGTCTCGGACTATGGGGAAAACCCAGTTGCAGGGTAGAAGGTTGGGGGTGGCAGGAAGAAGGCTTTGTTCTTGGCAGCTCTCTTTTGTCTGTATCTTGTATTTGAGGTCAGCCATTCCTGCAGCAGGGAACAGCTCAACTGTGCTTCCAGCGGTTACCCTGGAGATCTTCTCATGTTCAGAATTGGAATTGGCCTTTGGGCTGGTTGTGACATGCTGGCCCTGTGCTTTTCCATTCCTCACTGGCTCCTTTGCTGTGATCACAAAGCCTCCTCTATCTGGGTAACTGCATAAGTAGCAGGTTAGGATTCTGCTGACCTCCTAGGAGCCACTTGGACAAAATGTAGTCACTGGGAGCTCATAAACTTGTTGACATAATTTTAGTAGTAAAGGAAATGATAGGTGGTAACATCCAAATGTCTTAGAATGAGAACCGGCTGATTCATACTGACTTTGGGGTCCATTTGAATAGATGTTAGACCATATTAGACTTTCAATAACCATAATGGGTGGCTGATTTCTGTGCCAGTCATGCAGACTATTACAATGAAATGAAAAAATGAAGTAGGGACTGCAAGAGGCTAACTATTGTATTAGTAGCGTAACCCCCTCACAGCTGAAATCTGTAACTTACCTGAATTAAAAACACTTTTATACCATCGTCTTCTAAATCAGTCGCAGTTATCCGCAAATTTTTGTGATTTGCTCTCTGAATCTTCATCTGAGTCCAGAGTCTGCTGTTGAGGATCAGCCTCAGACTACCTTGGTTACGCATGACTGTGATTAGAAGATGAACAGATCAGATTAGAGTTCAAAATGCCTTAACATGAAAAAAAAAATCTCCGAAGGAAAAGTTAATCCTGTAGTTGTCCTTCAAGCTGTGTTTTCACTAGTGAGTGGTAATTTAGCTAGATTATAACTTGGTTTTAAAATTGGGCCTTACCTTAGAGAAAGTTTATTTATTTACTTTTGTTTCAGTGTTCTAATTCTATTCTTTCTAGAATTTTTAAATGATTAGATTTAAAGGGCCTCTTTGAAGACCTGGTGACATGTAGATCATTTAAGAAAAGTTAAAATGAAAAAAAAAAGAGAGAAACAAAATGTTTAAGTGCTCAAAATGTTGAGTCAGATAATTACAGCTCAGCCATTAGAGAGAGCACTAAAAGAACACTGAAGAAAGCTACTCACATGGGAAGACAACCATGGAATACTATGTAAAACATGTCAGATCAGTATAGCACCATGACCCACAAACTGTGCTGTCTATATAGACGTGTACTGAGAACGATGTCCATAGAAAGCAATGTTAACAAACTGTAGCTAGAAGATAGACCTGATACTGTTTCATCTAGCCTTTGATTGATTGATTTTCTGCATTCTGTAGTGAGCCCATATTGCCCACATAACAACAACAACAATAAAGGTGTCTGGAAATTTTGGCTTTATTTTTCTCTGGCAAAGAGTAGAACTAAATCATGGTAGAGAACAACCAGTACTGCCTGAATTGCATTACTTAGAAACCTGTTTGTCCATTACTAAGTTGAAAACCCTGTTCTTGTTCTTTTGATCTGGATTCTATTCCTTTACATTTTTTGAGCTTGATGTTTGAAACTCAACAGACCCTCATATACCCAGGTGCAGATTCTGTGTGTAGTTTCCTTCAAAACTGACTTCTCCAAACTGTTTGGCAAGAGAATTCACTACATCAGTCCTCTGCCCTTGCTTGTGTGTAGTTTGGGCCTCTGAACAAAGCCCAGTGTGCTCTTTTGGATGCCAAACATCTGAAATCTTTCCCCAGCTTTTGCTCATCCATTTGCTGCAGAACACAATAGTTACACATTGGTTTCTTCAGAAACTGACCCTTCATCCCAGCCACACACTGTGTTTGGATGCCAAGGATGCATGGTGTGTCAGCTATTTCCTTCCTCGACACTTTAAATGTTGCAAGGCTATTTGCTGCATACCCCTTCCACTACTAATGATATCACTATTTGGGTGTGTGCTTAGCTTTGACACAGGTGCTTTCCACACAGCATCTCATCAGATTTTCACGTTGCACAAGAAGACTTGAGTACAGTATCTCAGTGAATTCCCCCAAACACTGAAAAGACCACAGACTATAATTATTCTTATTTTGAATTTATACGACCAAGCCATTTCTTTGGGCTTGTTAGTCAGTGGAGGAGGAAACAATGGAAGCCATGCTGTCTGACAGGTATCTTCATGAGACATTTTACCCATTTACTTTGCAACATTGTTCCTTACTTAGTCTTGACTGTAGTGTTCCACAGTCACTGCTTGCTATGTCATTCAGTCTCAAAAGTCCTCTGCCTCTTTCAGTCCAGGATTGGGTTATTTTGGTGAATACAAAGATCTTGCAGTTGATCTAAATGACAATCATTTAAAATGTCAGATACATTACATTGTTTTCAGATTAAATCCCTTCTTGTGCCCTAAAACTATTAAATCTGGCTTATCTTGTACTAATCTTGGTTAATGGCTACTAAACCAGAATTTTAGATTTAGTTAACTTTTAAGAACATGCAATCTCTGTGCAGTTCAAACTGCAAAAATATAAAAATAAAAGCATAGAGTGAAATGAAAGATTCCCAACCCTTGCTCTTCAGCTTCCACTTCTATAAAAGGTGGCTACTAATATATCTTTTTTATCCTTTCAGAGATGGTTGTAGGGATACACACCAACACATATGTTCTCATCTTTTTTTTAAACTAGAGGATACCAGGGATACTTGCTGCTTTCTTACTTAGTATGTCTCTACATGCCAAATTCTCCATTAAACTTGATATTATTTTAGCCACATAATGCTATTTGAAAGAAATGACTCTTGGATTTGCATGCTAAGATATTTCAAACACAGCACATGGACATGGAGAGCTGTGACATTGTAACACGGGGTTCCTTGTAGTAATTTAATGGTTATCAGTTATCAAATATTCCCATGCAAAAGGAGTCATCTGTACATTCAAATGAAAATGCAGTGCACCAGGGATTGACCCCGAGAAGTTACTTCAATTAGGCCAAAATTATACCATGAGATGCACTTACTTAGACTAAAAGTATCCTTGGGTCATGCTGGAAGTAAGGAGGAGTGGAGAGAGCATGGGAGAAGATGGAGAATGGTAAAGGGGATTGGTGCCTTTAAACAAACAGTGAGGTTACAAATTGTACCCTAACACCACTCAGCCCAATATCAGATACAGTGTACACCTGTGAAGTTCTTTATTTATGCAAATGTCCACACTTTAATAAGCAAAAAATGATAACAAAAAAAGCTTTTGTCTTAAATTGTAATCAAGTCACTTTTCAGTATTAGTAGAGCTGATCATAGTAATGACACTGGCTGTGAGAGCAGACATGAGAAGTATAAAGTGGAAGTCTAAAGATACTTAAGACAGGATCCTAGTCCACCACCCTGTATACAAGCCTCAGAACTCCAGAAGCTAAACCAAGAGGATCCTAAACTTAGGTTCATTGCCTCTTTTCTTTCTTTCTCAACAACTAGAATGAGTTGTAATCCTACACACACACACACACACACACACACACACACACACACACACACAGAGAGAGAGAGAGACAGAGACAGAGACAGAGACAGAGACAGAGACAGACACACACACATGTACAGAGATGGAGAATTTAAGAAGATAATACTGTCTTAGTTTAACAATGAGGTTTTACAAGCCTCAAACAGTTTTTATTTAAGTAACTTAGTCTTCATGAAGCTCTATTTCTAGGATTTTTGAAGATGTCTCTAATGATGTTAGCTTTAGTCTATATAATACTAGAAGAAGTAATACATCACATACAAACCTTTAACACATTATGTTCCATTTCTTCTCCTGTTACAACATCAATTTTCTCAAGCAAGCATTTTTGTGATGGTTTGGAAGAAAAAGCAGCAGCTGATTCAATGAGGGATATATTTTTAATAGAGTCTGTTCCAAAGAGAAAGCAGGAGGAAAAAATATGTAAGACCCTGTTTCCTCTGCCATTAAGGTTGTGTGTTAATCATGTTAATACATCTTCTTACCTCTTATTTTAAAGGACCAACTGTTTGAGTCAGTTAAAACCACCTAATTTACTCTCCCATGGTATTAAGTTAGCAATTTTGTACCATAATCTAATCAAGTGTTTTAAGCCTTGCCAAAACAATTTTAAATACTGGATTGAAGGCTTTTGAAATTGTCTGGATATTAAGTAAATGTCATTAAAAGTAGGAGACAAAGAGCTGGAGAGATAATTCAGTGGTTAAGAGCATTGGCTGCTAATCCAGAGGACCCAGCTTCTGTTCCCAGCACCTCCAAGATGGTTACTGTAACTCCATTCCCAGAGGATCTGATGCCCTCTTCTGATATTTTTGAGTACCAGGCACACATGTAGTCCACTGACATACATGTATGAAAAACACCCATGTACATAAAAAAAACCATAGGAGACAGTAAAGTTAATGTTTTACAAAGGAACCAATTCTTACTTGGATCTGAAGCTTCGGCATCAGGATATTTCAGAACAGATCTGAATGTTTTTTCCTTGGCATATGAATGGTTTTGAAGTGGAGGCTGGGTGAACTTTTGAGTTCCCTAAGTGGGGTGGGGGGGGGAGAGAATGTGCATTCTTTAATCTTATACCTAGATATTTGCAGTAAGCCAAAAACCAAAATATTTTCTTTTTTCAACACAACACAAAAGAAATAGCTCCTGTGTTTTTGTTTCCAGCTGCCTCCCCACTTGACAGAGAAACTGGGCTATAGTTAGGAAGCATTGGTTCTAACCTCAAAAGCAAGGACCCACTTATCCCAGCCGGTCCCAATGGGTCTGGTTTTAGGGGAATAAGGAAAGCTCGAGTAGCTGGGAAGCAGGTGGCTGTCTTTCTGTGTCCTACCAGGCTGACCAAAGTGCCATTCTCTTCATTTTCAGTGTTTTCCAGTGGTCTCACAGATTCACTATTGCAGTGTTCTTCCCAGGAAAGAAAACTCCACTAGATATCCGAGAGAACAGAAGGGGTCCTAATGTTTCCTCAGATATCAGTGTTTGCCAGCAGTCAGTGTGTGTGTGTGTGTGTGTGTGTGTGTGTGTGTGTGTGTGTGTGTGTGTGTGTTTGAAATTGACCAAAACTTGTAGTATAACTGAGTAAAGATTTCAAGCAATTTTTAAAAATTAAAGATGGAGCACTGCTGAGAACACTATACTAAAATATTACTAATTGAGCTTATCTAACTGCTGCATGTTTCTGCAAGTTCAGTGGGTTCTTTGGACTTAACACAAGGCAAAGAACTCTTTGACACTTCACATTTGTAATAATGAAATGATTGTATAGTTTCCTTCCTCTGTCACAGTGGTTCTCAACCTGTGGGTTGTGACCCCTTGGGAAGCAAATAGCCCTGTCACAAGGGAAATCTTAAGACCATTTGAAAACACAGATATTTACATTACAGTTCATAACAGTAACAAAATTACAGTCTTGAAGTAGCAACAAAATCATTTTATGGCTGGGGATTACCACAGCATGAGGAGCTGTATTAAAGGGTTGCAGCACTAGGAAGTTTGACAACCACTGCAGTATGGGCTTCACTTCACATCTGTTATTCAAACAGCTGGGACATGCTTCCCAGCAGCCTTTTGTAGTTAAAGAAGTTGTGACTTTTAGCCCAGAACTAAGAAGTACTCTTGAACTGAACACTATTAATTTGCCTTGAGAAATGTGAAATGACAGTTTCTCTAAGATAATTTACCAAACTCTTACCAAAACTCTTTCTACCATGTTTTCTCCAAAAACAAAGTCAGAACTGCAGCTTTTAAAAGAACAGTTATCTTCCTTTGGTTGGCATCTGTGAAACAGAAATAAGTATTCGGTATTTTAAATTTGTGAATTAAGCCACTTTAAGCCTTAGCAGGCAAAATAAACCAGTAGTTCAAGAATAATCAGACCTCTTTGTTCATAAGAAATGAATGAGAAGTGAAGGAAAAACATGAGCCAAAGACTTCCAGGGGTAATATTATGACATTGGAGTTGACCTGTATAGATGACTTCATTCCATTCGCTATGTGGGCTGCATGACCAGCTGGAGAGCTGCCCAGCGCTTATCTTACTACATCCCAGCAATCCCTAACCATTATTCTTTGTCGTAAGTGGCCAATGATGCTTTTAGCCATCCAAGATCTTCAGGGTGTCTTATCAATTATACTTGAATGTGCTTTATTTTAATTCTTCTACTCCAAGAAAATTGATTTTTATATTAAAATTGTTTCACAGGATGAGAAAATCAAACATGCAGCCATTTGTAGGCAGATGTTCTAACGGTTCTCCACACATCCCATGACCTCACCTGGATGGTGCCTACTCATGTGAGTCAGTGTTTGTCCACAGCCATTTCTAGTGTTCTTGGGGAAGGTTTCCTTCATCACCAGCAATACTAAATAACATTAGCTTTCCACGTAACAGACATATACTGCTTTCCTTCTATCTAAACAGTTAATGCTAATTAATCATAGAGAGCACCAAAAATGATTAGAGAGGACGTCCAAAAAAAGAGGAAGGAAGGGAGATCTTTCACTTAGCAAGATAACTTGTTCCTGAAGTCATATCTTTTTGAAATATTCTGAGCCAAGTCCATGAGGCAATGAAGGCAATCCAATATTATTATGATACTGAAGTAGCTGAGATATTCTGAAGAACTTTCTCAACTAACATTCTTATAAAACATGCTCTCAAATGAGATTCTTGTCAATTTATTCATAGAGTGTCAGAAAATTACTTCTTATGACTAGTTAAAGGGACAAAGAAAACAAAAATGAAAAGGAACAATTTCGGTTTTCTCATTAGGTTGAGCATCCCTAGTTAGGAAATCTGAGGTGCAAAATTTTCCCAAATCTCAAACATTTGGATCACTGGCATAAGATCATAGTTGAAAATTCTGGTCTCATATGATGGTTCAAAATCATTTAAAAATGTTCTATATAATTATATTCAGACTATATACTCAAGGTGTATGTAAATCTGTATACATGCATTTTCTGTTTAGATTTTGGTCCCTTCTAAAAGATATTAATTACATTCTATGCATCCAAATATTACAAAAATCTAAAAACTAATCTGAAACACTTCTAGTCCCAAAAACTTTGGAGAAGGAATGCACAATCTGTATACTTTACCTCGATGTTGCCTCTGAGGTGTGTAGACCAGCAGACAGCTGGACTGAACTTCTTGTGTGTGGTAAATTTTCACTTAGCAAACTAGAGTTCCACTCAGGTATCTGAAAAGGGGAGAAAAGAAATCCATCTGAAAGTTCATTAGATTTGCCCTGTCTAGAAATCTCACACAGAAACCAGTTATAGTCACATGTTATCCTGTGTTGAGATAACATGTGCCTCCAGCCCTTTATATGTCTCACCTTAAGTGCTCTCCACAGCTCAGTGCACTTGGTCCTTCTACTGCCCACAGTTTACAGAAAGAACTTGGAGAATTCACCCAAGTCACATAACCAAGTGGAAGTGACAATTAGTGCAAGCCTTTATCCAGAGACTTCCTATATCGTCATAATACTCACAAACTTGTTGCTTTTTGATACCTTTAGCTATTTTACCTATTTGGGCTTAGTGACTACTTCTGGATAGTAGGGGACTTTTCAGGGCTGTTCAACCTCTGGCAGTACCCTAAGAGCTTTGCTACAGCCACCTGGTGTAAGAGGATACTCAGCTCATCTCTGGAATAGTTCATGTTTTCAAAGTCAGGCAGTTCTGTCTCCTCTTGAATTTCTATACTAACTAATAAAAGTATGACTGTTTTCCTCTTGTAACAGAAACTTAAAAGCTGACAGATATCTACAAGAGAGCATGTGCCTCGGTTATCTAAGTCAAAGTATGTGCTGGTGACCTTGTCACTCAAATAATGGATCTTTCCGTCTAAATGATAGTTTTCACTCTCTGTTGCCTAAAATAGTTTTAGGTATATTTGGTTTGATTTATACACAATAAGTGGACATTGTCTGCAGGATGTAGTTTTAGTTTTAAATATGTGACATGAAAGCAGCCGGAGCACTATTTGGGAGAAGAAAGGGGACCAGTTGGAGAGGAGGAGGGATGAAGGGCCAAGTAAGATGCTATGTCTGCATAAAATGCCATAATGAGTCCCATTATCTTGTATGCTAAGTAACAGGAATTTGCTTTTCAGGAGCCAGTTACCAAACCCAGGGCCTCATGCTTGGTAGGCAAGTGCTCTTACCACTGAGCCTAATCCTCAACCTTGTAGAAGGAAAATTAAAAATATTTCTTTTGCTTTTTGAGATTATGATTGCCTTTTCTTTCCTCCCTCCAAAACCTCCCATATACTCCAGTCTGATCTTTTTCAGATTCACAGCCTCTATTTTCACTAATTGTTGTTATATAATACATGTATCTATATCAGGATAGATAGATAGATAGATAGATAGATAGATAGATAGATAGAATTCCCAATATAACCTGTGTAATCAGTATAATGTTGTGCTTGCATGTATGTTTTCAGGGTTGACCATCCTGTAAAGTCTCACCAACATGGCTGCCTAAACATGAGCTGAACAAAGACCACAGTAGACACACTAAAGTGGACTAGGGCAGGGACAGTAGGGGGGAGGAGCCCATGAGGCCTCAATCCTATACAAAGAACAACAGGCAACTAAGGAATGCTGAGAACTGAAGAAATAGTCTTCCTCGGGAAAGAGCAGACCAACTGGTTATCTAATGCCAAAAGGAAACCTTTTAAAGACTGTAAGAAACAGTGTTACCAAAGTTTATATTTTCATTAAACTTGTATATTAAAATGGTAGCCCTTTTTGGTTTGTAGTTTTTTAATTATGAATGACAGTAAATAATTTTACTTAAAAATAGCAGGGTGGACACTAATTTATCTAGTTTTGATACTTGTCAATAAAGAATATAAGATGGTAATTCTATGTAATTCACTGAAGCATAATTTTCACATTGTTTAAAGATTACATTCATTTAGTCAAACTTAAACCATAGAATTTCATAGATTATGTGTCTCTGGAACATCAAAGACCATCATGGAACAGAAAACCCAATAACAGGCATACTCAGTTGGGCTCCTCTATAACTCGGAGTAATCTCTATTTATTAGACCTTTAAATTGTGAAGAAATAATTGAAAACTAGAGCTGGAAATTTTGTTTTATAATTTAGCCAGAAAATTATTTTAAAGTAATAAATAGCAGTCACCAGGATCTGCATTCAATCCCCAGAAAGCCAGGTGCAGTAGCAAACATAGAGACAGATCTCTGGGATTGCTGACCAGGTAACCTGTCAAACTCTGAGCCAATAAGAAACTGTGTGTCAAAAAGCAAGGTTGTTCTCTGGCCTCCAAATGCACATACATGCACACACAGACATGGATGAGATTTGTGAAAGTCATGACAAGGAAGAAATATCACTACACTTGGATGTCATAACATATAACAAAAATTTTGTCTATGGTACACACCATTCCAAAATAGTATGTAACAGTTCAAAATTTAGTCAACTTTTCCTTATAAAATTTAAGACTGATTTAATACCATTCTCCCTGACATTCCTAAATAGAATAAGTAATTACTAGTTTGTATTTAATTAAAACTTCAGTAATGTATAAATCTTAAATTAATGTTTTACCTTATAAACCACTTGTCATCTGCCATATATAATTTATTAAATCATTAAAATTCACAATGGGCCTCACAAAATCATATCTTATGAAGAAGAGGTTTTGGAAGCATAACAATTTTGGGAAATGCTGACCAAGTTCATCTTCCTTTTTTCTCTGATAAGGAGAATGTTGAGTGCCTGGTTTGGATAAGCACAGGTGATTGCAGGGCAAGACTATTTCCTTCATATTTTTTTCCCTTAATCAAAATGACTGATATATTTCCTTCCATGTGTTATTGTCATTGTGTTCAGTGAAAACCAAACCAAACCAGTTGAACAACCTCAGGAGTTTGAAAATCAAATGGCTGATGGAATAGTTCAAATTCCAGCTGCCAAAGTCCTGTCCCATTCCTCCAGAGTGTCATAGCTACAGTGGCAGTCATAGAACATTCCTGAACCCCACATCTGCATGCCCCAACAAAAGAGTATCGCCTTAGGAAAGCTTTTCAGTGATTGATTCAGACCCTTCAGTGTTTAGGAGAGATAGAGAGTTCGTATCTGTCTTTGGAGGTTGCCAAGCTTCCCTACTCCACCCACAGCTATTCCGTGTATGGAATCTTTGCTGCTGTTATCTGTGAAGATGTCTGGTGTAACCTAGACTGCCAAAGCCTCACTATGGTGTTGGCCAGCGGGGATGCAGGACCCCCTTCTGTGATATTTGACTATAGGTTCTGACCCCTGCCCATCTCCTTGCTTCCCCGAGTTTTATACCGTCAGCATTCTGGTATTCCTACTATGTTCACAAGTTCCTGCTGCTTGCTGCACAGTTTTCCCACTTGGGAGTGGCAGCAACCACAAACTCTGGTTCAAGGAACATGCTCCAATTTAATAACAGTACCAAGAGCATATCAATGTCCCTCCTACCAAAGGGGATTTTCATACCTTGTGCTTGGTATTTTCCTTAATTTTGCAGGATTTGGATGCACTGTGACCAAATGTTTTGCTTATGTTTTCACAGCTTTGAGCTTGAGGTGGCTGCAGAATAGCAGGTCTTAAAACATGCTCGGAAGGTCTCACAGGACCTTGAAAGAGCAGAATGAAAAGATCAATACATTTTGGTGAAATATCCCTTGTCCCTGTTTTTAATATAATGCTTTAATATAATAAAGCATTATATAACTAAGTTTTTAGAAATTAGTCAAATTCAACGTAGTCCATGAATTGGCTGCCACTCAGTTCTTACCTAGCTTTTGCCAAATAAGTGTTTCTTTTGATTGCATGACTTGTCTAATCAAACATTTTTATTCTCCATGTTTTGTCACTCTGTCCTTCACCCAACATACATACATACATACATACACACACACACACACACACACACACACACACACACACACACACACACACACACACACACCACAGAGGTAGAGTGAGACAGAGAGATTAAAATATGTATGGCAAATGAAGCTTTTAAACTGCAGCCAACAGAGTCCTGAGTCTACCTACTTTTCTAAATTATTTAGACAAGCTTAAAGTTTAGTTTATTTCTTTCTATCTTTTTTCTATGCATACCTCCCTTGACACTTCATGCTTATACCAATATTCTGAGCTTCCTTACCCTTTGGACAAAGCTTCCCTCCTTGCCATGTGGCCACTCATCCACCATGTGTCTGACCTGCCTGCCGACCTCAATGGCATGGCTTTTATCCTTTCTATTTGTCAGGCATCTGCTGAGGTTCTATAGCTTGCCTGCCCAATGTTTTTCTTCTAATCTGTAACACAATTTCCCTTGTGCCTCAAATGCATTAGATAGATAGATAGATAGATAGATAGATAGATAGATAGATAGATAGATAGACAGAGAATTTCTGGGGTTCTTGAAACTGAAGAGTCATACCTTGCTCTCCACTGTTCATGTCAATATTCCTTTGCACCAGACTTGATGTCATAAAAACATTGTTTTTCCTCACTATAAGAAAAAAATTTTAAAAACCTTTAAAGTTCTTGAAACACTTTACATTTTTGTAGAAAAGACCTATTCTGAGATCACCAGTAGATGTCGCTATAGCACTAATACCACTAGAAAGCAGTGCTCATGGGAGGGCCGGTCCTGTTAAAAATGTGATTGCCAGGTGACTTTTGCTATCTGCTTCTGCTCAATTCTCAAAAATCTAAAAATAGGTCTTTTATAGAAGAGGTAATCTTATTTACAGTCATTACATAGATTAGTACCATAAGAAATTTTGCAAATCATGAACACCGAAGTGATAATGAATCCTGTGTGCATATGTATACCTCCCATAGCATGCTCTAACACTATCAAAAAAGTCTTTACATCCTCTTTTAGTGATACTTAGGAGAGAATTAAAGATGGCAACTGTGATGTAAGTTTGTTTTGTTTGTTTTGTTTATGTTTTTGTCAACTTGGCACAAGCAAGAACCACTTTGGAAGAGTGAATATCAATTGAAACAATACCTAATTAAGTTAGGCCTTTAGGCAAGTCTCTGGGGACATTTTCTTGACTAATGACTGATATAGGAGGGTCCAGCACACTATGGGCAGTGCCACCCCTGGACACATGGTCCTGGGCTGTTGAAAAACCAAGCTGAACATGCTAAAGCGAGTAAGCCAGGAAGCAGCTTCCTCCATGGTCTGTGCTCAAGTTCCTGCCTCCCGGTTCCTGCCCTGACTTCCCTTCATGATGGACTATAAGATGTAAGGTGAATAAACCCCACCCTCTCCTAAGCTGCTTCTTCTCGGCGTCTTGTACAGTAAGACAAACCAAACTACAGCAACAATGATGCCAGATTTTTTTCCTCTGGGTTTGTTGCTGGGTACCATTGATCGTGGCATTGGATTTCTATATTTTCAAAGTGAGGGTATTTCCTTGGTATTGCCGTGGCCAGCATCTGACTAATGGAGATGACAAGTGAATAGAAACACTTAAGTGCCTCATCTCATGAATGTTGTAATGGAAGTGCTGCTCTAACCAAGCTGGATTTGGTTTATTATCTTTTTTACTTGAAACAGAACAAGAAATACACCACATAAATTGTACTATTTTTCTCATTTCGGGCACCATTTATGATTCTGGGAGCGTAAAGTAGGGCTGATTTTTTTTAAATAAAGTAGGTATGTAGGTAAAATAAAGCTGTCCCTTTGCTTTACACAAAAACATAATGAAGCAGAATGCTTTGCCTCTGGGATTGGCCACCTCTCCATTTCTCTTGTACAGCTTGCCATGTGGGTTCAGAGAGTCTATTGTCTCTTTTGTGACTAAAAGTGTCTGATACACTGTTGCTCAGGTGATTGCAATTACTGTTACTAATGTCCATTTGTTGGTTTAAAAACTGCAGTTTTGGGGTACAGGACAATCAAAAAGAAATAAAAAGGGCAGATAGATAGATAGATAGATAGATAGATAGATAGATAACAGAATTTCATACATTAGAAAATGCACTTGATTGTTCAGTACAAATAAAAATAGCCAGGAATATAAGTCATTGCTTAATGTGAAGGTAATAGCAACCATTTCATTGTGATAAACATTTCATCACAAAATCATTTTACTTGGCAAAGCAATATTTTAATTAGTGCAATCTTTAACAGAATCATATTCTAAGTATTAGAATATTACTTGAAAGCACGGTTATGTTCTGAGTACTATATAAGCTATATGTATAGACAATACTGAATAAAACAAAGCAAGATTTTTTACTTTATAACTATACCTTCCATAAAGTTCTGCTTATGGCACAAAGGCCGTAAGGTCTTATAAGACCTATTATGAAGAGAATTCCTGAAGTCCCTTGATACAAACAAGGCAAACTAAATTCCTAGCTGACTGAGCATACAGTGCAGATCAGAATTCTTCTTTAAATGTAGGCTGTAGGGAACATTATAACCACACCTGCTCGGGGCTGGCTACAGGATATGGTCAGGGTGACATGAGGGAGGTTTAAGAGTGAGGGGTATGAACATGGTAGCCCCTTCTTCTTCCCTTTCATCATCAGCTTGCTCTACTTGCTCCATTCCCTGCCGGCTGGCTGGGTTGCTCTGTAAGTAAGGCATCTCCCTAATAAATACCCTAATATCTTTACCTGGCTCTGTATTCGTAATTCACCCTTTAGTAGGCATCTGTTTATTTCATATATGAAGCCCTAAAACATTCCAAGCTCAAAATTCTTGCCAAAAATGAAAGACACATTGACTGCATGGATTGGTGAGTTAATGTTCTTTAGATAGCCCTCTTGCACATGAGCCTACAATTTCTCTCTTGATTTGTTGCTCAAACTATTACATGGTATGCTGTCTGACAAAGAAAACACATCATTGATAGGAATGATTTTGAGACATCACAGTGTCAGGGTTAAGGTTCTATGAGTCCGTCCTTACCTGGCCCAGAAGGGGGGAAGGTTGGGACCTCAGTGAATGATGAAGACCTCAGGCGCGTCTGAGACAAAGCTGCCACTAAAAAGCAGATCACAAATGCAGGTCATTCAGGCACCCACAGCTAAGCACTGAACCATACTCCTGGAATCCAGTTGCAGAGAGGGAGGAGGGATGAGCAAAGGAGCCAAGGCAGTGCTGGAGAAACCCACAGAAACAGTTGACCTGACCTAGTGAGAGCACAGAGACGCTACCTAGTCGTAAAGCTGGGGAACAGCATTGGATCAACCCAAGTGCCAGCTAGTAGACCAAGACAGTCTTTGGGACCTCTAACAGTAGAGCCAGTGTTTATCCCTAATGCACAAATGGACTCTGGGAGCCCATTCCCTATGGAGGGATACTATTGCAGCCCAGATACAAGGAGGGCCTAGGCCTCCTTCAAATGATATGATGGACTTTGAAAGTCCCCCATGGAGGAGCTCACTATCCTTGGGGAGTAGGTGGGGGTGAGTTGGAGGGGAGTGGGGGAACATGGAAGGATTGGAGGGTGAAGGAATGGGGGGATGGATATGTAAATATGAGTGCCTCTAAAATAAAAAAAACTGAGAAAAAACAAAAATAAACAAACAAGAAAAAAATACAGGTCATTAAGAAGTGTGTCTTCTATCTATTTTGACAAGGATTCTGTTGTTTGAAGAAAAGTTTACATCTCAATTTCAAACAAAACTATTTTTCTTTGTATTTTTATTAGTTGAAACAAAGATTGCCTCTGATGATCATAAATCAACCGTATTTTCACTCAAATTAGTATTTCTTGAATGCTGACCATGTATTAGACACAAAAAAAGATGCCACTTGTGAACTCATATTGTATGGAGATATTTGTACATAAACTGAGGCTTAACAAAGCCCAAGGGCAGTAAAACCCATTAGGCAGAGCAGCACTGGGGTATATTGTTGTGCACATGGACAAACTACATTCTCAGTTGGCTCAGAATACAGTGTATGATGAAGCTGTTAAAGCACCAGCATGTTTTTATTCTGGAGGTGTTTACTTTCCAATGGCCAGTTGGAAAGTTCTTTAGTAATTTCACATGCAGAATAATAGTCAAATCTATACCTACCTCCTGGAGACTGAGAATCTGTAGTATGAAGCGTGACAGACGAAGACCTTACACGCTTTCTTGAGAAAACACTGAGTTCTGAAAGAAATTCAACAGGAACTGTAATATTGGGCTTACAATTACACACAGTATGGGACTAGAATCATTTCACATGCTGACCCATGGAGCCCCACATTAACTATTAGGGATCTTAAGGTGATTGTAAATCTACAGACATATTAGTGTGGAACAGTTGGGAATGAGTCTGTGGCAGGGAACAGTATACACATGCTACAGTTCTGCTCAGAACCACAGAGGCTGTTCTCAGCTGTCGGCCTGTCATCTTTCAAACCAAAGGCCAGTCCATGTGCACACTTAGAAACAAGGAAACCTGTTATGTTTTACAAAGTTGGTGTCACAAGGCCAATTGCTGTCCTTTACTTTTTTTTTTGTATAAAGATTAGGGTTTGGGGCTTTCCAACACAGAATGTAATTCATTACCACGTTCTGCTGTTTCGTCCAGGCTGTCTTCTGCAGGTCTCTGAAAAGACACAAAACTGCCAGTGAAAACTGAGTGTTTGCTGTTATTGCATCATTTTTCACCCTGCCTCCATACAAGAGGATTTCAGGAGCCAAGGCTCTTCAGCTCACAAGGACAAAGGGACACACCACACTTTTCACCAAGAACTTGTCAACAGAGAAGTCTAGCCCAGTGGCTATAGATTTCAATGACTGTAGAATAATTTTGAAAACTTGTTTAACATGTAGATTTCTGAGGCACCTGCTATCAGGATTCTGAAGTGGTTGATCTGGAGTAAGAATCCGTTTTTTGGACAAAGGAGTAAAGTTAGTTTATTTTGTAAACATAATTAATGTTTACATATTAATGGCTACATATAAGAATGAATTCTTGCAGCCACAATAAGACAATTGGTAGATATAGCTGATCTTCCAACTCCTGTGGTTCCAGGATGATGCTTCAACATCAGACACACTCTCTAAACCCTTTCAAACTAATATTGTTTGCTGGGGATTTTTATACCCAGTTTTAGGCTCTTTCAGTATTGAGGACCTAGGGAGATCCTTAACCTTCCTAATCTTTCCCTGTTTTTTTGTTGGTTGGTTGGTTGGTTGGTTGGTTGGATTTTTGTTGTTGTTGTTGTTTATTGGTTGTTTTTTTTTTAAAGTCACTTTTTAAAAGACACTCCAAATAAGCATATTATTTTAGGTAAACCACTTTACCTAAACTTAGAGACTTCAACCAAACTGATGTCTGTGAGTCGCAGCTACATGAACATTCAGCTAGCAGAGGACAGGATAATATCATGCAGCTACTATATCTTAGTATAACTACATTCTTAAATTAATATTTATCAAAGCCAAAGTAGTTTGATCTTACCTTGAAAGTGTGTTCTCCTTTTTCAAAAACAAATACTGGTTGAGCAATGACATATTTTTCTGCAAAAGAATGGAATATTCAAGAACTCACAGCACACTGACAACTCTAATGCCACCTAAAACTACTTGAAGATTTTTTTTGTTTTGCATATTCCTTGCTGTGGTGATTTGAATGAAAATAGCCCTAATAGACTCGTATTTATAAATATTTGGTCCCCAGTTGGTGGAAATTTTTGGCAAGAATTAGGAGGTACAGACTTATTAGAGGAGGTGTGTCACAGGGAGTGGGCTTTGAGGTTTCAAAAGCCTGTGCCAGCCCACTGTCTTTCTCTGCCTGCTGCCTGATCAAGATGTGAGCTCTTAGCTAATGCTCCAGTGTGATGCTTGCCTCCCTGCCACCATGCTCCCCACCATGACAACCATGTACTAACCCTCTGAAACTGTAAGCGAGTCCACAATTAAATGTTGTCCTTTGTAAGTTGCCTTAGTCATAGTATCTCTTCACAGCAACAGTAACCCCAAGAAAAACAGCAGGCTTCGAGGTTTTTAGAGAATGGTACCATTCCTTGCCCTTCCCCTTTCTCCCTCTCCCCCCCTCCCTCCCTCCCTCCATGTCTCTCTCTGCCTTGTGGTTATGGATCAAGATGAGAGCTCTCAGATGCTTTTTTGCTCTACCATTACAGACTCTAACTTGAAACCAGTAGCCAAATTATATGCCTTCTTTTATAAGTTGCCTTGGTCATGGTGTTTTATCATAGCAACAGAAAAGTAGCTACAACACTTATCTTTGGGTAGAATATAAACTATTTCTGATGGATACAGTTGATAATAGACATAATACTCAAGGAAAGTGATAGTAGTATGTATGTAAGGAGAATGATAATCTCTAAAGGAACATGCTCAGGTTGTAGATTCAACTCCATGTACAGCAAAACAACAACAGCAAAACCATGCTGTAGGAGTTTAAGGAAAATAAACAAAATTGCCTATTTTTAGAATCTCATCAGGACAGTGCTTAAGAAATCTTTAAGAATAAAAATTTCAATGGGTAAGAAGTCTCATTGGAGAAAAGTTCTATTTGCATTGTACCTTAAGGTACAAGCAGCTGGGCACAGTGATGCATGCTTATTTCTCAGCTCTTAGGAGGTGGAGACAAGAGGCTTATGAAGTCATTATCAGTATATTGTCTTGGCACACACTTAGCATGCATGGGTGCACAAATTGTATCTCTCAGCCTAATGAACCTCCATTGGAGGAATTTGGAGGCTAAAGATGACTACTCAAAACAAATTACCCAGCCAACATGCAGAGGAGGCAGACATGCAGTACATTTCATCCATGAGATAATCCCTCAGAATCATACTCTCTTTACTGGAATTGCTGTATGCCAAACCACATTTTCAATATTTAGGTTAAAAATTAGTCTTACACAATATTACAAAGCACATAAAACCCTGTCAGTCTTACTCATCTTTCCACTATTCTTCTCTTCTCCCTCCCTTTTCTTTCTTTCTTTCTTTCTTTCTTTCTTTCTTTCTTTTTTCAGGATTCAGATTCAACTGAATCCAAGGTCTTGTGCTACTCCCTTAGGAAATCAGAACACACAAGCAATTAAGAGTTTCAAGCAGTGTGGAGCCACAGAGTAAAGGAAAACTGAAGAAAAACAATAACAACAAGACTTTGGAAACTGGGAAACAGAAAGATAGGTGGTACTCAATTTAGCAGACCATGAAGGCTGAACTGAAAGCGGTGGGGATGCGGAAACCAACTGAGAGCAGCATGCCCCTAGGAACACTATTCAAATACTGATAGAACTAAGAACTTCTAGAAGAAGAGATTAAATTGGGCTCAAGATAGGAAGATCTTGTGTATATTGACAACAAAGTAACTCAGTTGTCTTACTCCTAGCCTATCAGAAGTCCAGGATCTTCACTTTTGCCCAGGACACCCAATCTAATCCTCTGGCAAGAGTTCAGCTCAGTGTTATGTGTATATGTGATGGCCCTGCTTTTCAGGATCTTCAAGTGCTGTGACAGTGTTCACAACAAATATACAACATTTTGTTATTTTAATACATACCACAGTTTGCCTAGTCCAAAAACTTAGGGTGACTCATAAGTTTTTGCCTCAACTTTCTATTTCCATATATCTAGTTGACACCCATTTTGTTGAATATACCTATCTCCACTAGGAAAGTAGCTGGAGATTTTGTTGATGGGTCCTCTTAGAGGAAGGGATTTGAAAGGATTCACTGAACCAAAATAAGGGCCTTGAAAGTAGAGAAAGAGACCAAGAGTGAAGTAGCTTTATCCTGAGTCTGAAAGCCTACAGACACTCAGGTTTCTGCTGCTTGGTTCCCCACCTGGAAGCAGTCTTCTCCTCATTGCAGCCTAGTAGTTGAGGGGATGTAGAAACTGACTTCTTTGTACTAGCCAGAACCAATCTACCCTAGTAGGAAAGAGGGTGATAGCAACCTCTCTGCAGTGGGCCAGCCCTGCCAACTGGGTCACTTCTAATTGCCACCAGAACTGGAATTCTCCCCTTGGACTTCATCCCTGGTGGGCTTTATCTGTTCCTCTTTCCTTCTTTCTGGATCTTCCATGTGTGGGTGTCACGTTTCTTTCTCTGATTTTTTTTTTCTCCTTGGACATCCACTATTCCCTAATACCTTCCTTTGTGCCCCTGTCCTTTTCTGCCACTGTCAAAGCTTGAAGACAGTCCAAGACCTGTTGTCTTGTTTTTGTTTGTTTTTAAAATTCTGTGTGTTTGTATGTGTGTCTGTTTCTGTCTCTGTCTCTCTCTATCTCTCTGTCTCTCTCTCTCTTTCCCCATCTATCTCAGAGACTTGCCTTTACTAATCCTCCTACCTCTGAAGGCTAGAATAACAGGCATACACCACCACCTGGCTTGTGTTAGTGTTCGTGTGTGTGTGTGTGTGTGTGTGTGTGTGTGTGTGTGTGTAAAGGTTGTTATGAGGATTGAAGCAAGTCCTGTGCACAGGGTCAGTTTCTTCTTCAACCCCCTTTTTGCAACAAAGCAGAATTTCTGTGTCTAACATCTATTTATCTATCCTTGATCCTTCCTATATGCACAGATCTCCTTACATAACCAGACATGGCACGTCTCTCTATGTGAACATGTAGCAATAAACTAGAAAGTTGCATAGAAAATACTCATTAAAACTTGATTCCTACTGGGTGGTGGTGCCTTTAATCCCAGGACTTGAGAAGCAGAGGCAGGTTAATCTCTATGAGTTTGAAGACAGCCTGGTCTACAGAGCTAGTTTTAGGACACCTAGGGTTGTTACATAGAGAAACCCTGTCTTGAAAACAAAAACAAAAACAAAAGCCTTGGATTCCTTGCCCCCTCCTCTAGGTCCTAAGCTGTCAGTGGTGGACATGCTACTTTGTGGTAGCTCTGGTGGAAGTAGGTCACTTCTCCTCAAAATGGCATTTTCTTTTCACTCACTTCCTTATTCTTACCCTGAGTTTTCTTCTATCTTCTCCCTTGCCACCTCTCTTTTAAAACAGTTTAATATCAGTATGGTTCTGTATTCAAGCTGTGACCAGAAGTAGTCTTAGAAATTCTTGCTCCCCAAAATGTAGTCCTTGGGCTGGTGGGTTCAGTGGGTAAAATGCTTACAGCTCAAAGGTCAGAGTTTGGATCCTGAGGACTCACTTAAAGCTGGTAATCCCAGGATTCCGATGACAAGATGGGAGACAGAGACAAGATAACCTTTGGAAGTTTGTGGGCCAGCTAACATGATGTTTGAAGCAGTGAACAACAAAGACCCTGGTGGGAGGCAAGGGCCAACACCTGGACTTGTTCCCTGACCTCCATGTGCACACACGTGTGTGTATATATATTCTACAAAAGCATCATACACACACATACAAACAAACACACACACACACACACACACACAAAGTGTGGTTGAGATAAACCAGCAGCATTGACCTGAGTTTGTTAGAGATTTGGACTGTGAATTAAAATCTATACTCTACATCCTTTCTTGGTGAGTTAGTCATTCAAGAAGTCTTGAAGAACACGGGGTTTCTGTCAACCTAGGTCAAATTTATAAAGATAGCGGGAGAGACTCTTGAGGTCAGTGAGTAACTGTGGGATGTGCTGAGAATGTTTGCAATTAGTAAGGAAATGATGCCATTCAAACCTTATACTATGATTGATTGTAATTCAATGTGAATTCATAGGCCATTCTAATCAATTTAAAAGAAATCTCTATATTACAGATATTGGAATGTCACTATTGATATTGAAACCAGTTATTCAGATTTGGATGCACACAGAATTAAATAAGCAGAAAATTGCCTGTGATAACATTTAAGAACATGTGTCCATAGATGAAGATGGTGGGACACAGTGTCTCAGGTCATTGTTTACTATGACAGAGCATTCTAATTTCTGCCTTATGAGATTCTTTTCTTTGTCATGAAAGCTGAAAACAGGACCCTAGGTGAATCAGGGAGTCTACAAGCAGGTTCTCAGCCTCACTCAAAACACTCAGTGAGTAGACCTGCTACAGCCCCTTCAGCCTGGTTGTGAGCAATCTGTGTATTACAAATATCAGCCAATTGTAAGACGTACAGAAATATGCTAAGAAAAGTGGGGGAGGAACCCTTTCTCCCTTCTGTCTAATTCTGCAGCTTTAAACACTATTTTCTATTTTTATTAGAAAAGGATTTGTCACATGCCAACTGTAGGAAACTTGGAAATTTTTAGTTTGGATTCATATCTAAGGAGTACATACTAAAGAGAAGAAAGTGAAGAACACTGTTTCCTTTCTTGTGACTACTAAGCCATTTTTGGAAAAAGAATCATTTCCCAGCAGGAAACTGTATAGGAGATGAGAGAACTCTGTCACAATGAATGCAACCAGCGCCATCCTAAGCCTGCCTAGCTCGTCCTTTCCCAAACTTGTTTGCTTCTCCTGCTGAGAGCCTTCAAGGGATCCATCCACTTAAGCTCCAGAGACCCTCAGTCCCTTCCTCGTGGACGATATAGACAGATATAGACAGAGGGCAAATTTGAAAAACAGCAAC